TTAATGAATTTTTTTTTCAGTGATTTTGTTTTGCATAGCTGACAAGTAACTGGAGTCTTTGTTTATTGCTAAGTTCTGTAATCTCAACATGCCTAGCACATCGCCATGATTCAAGTCACTGCCATCGTGGTAGTCGATAATCTGACTGTCGTAATTTATGTCATCGTTGTCTGTAGATTCATGGTTATCATGGTCTGCAATACAATTCTCAACAATCTGTTGCTTCCACTCGCCGTCATATGTTGCTTTAGTCGGTATACGCTCATCAAAATGGAGGTATTCATCAACACAACACTGTGTTTGCGGGTCTGAAGCTTGCTGATTGAGGCTTCCGATTTCTTTGTTGTCTGCTTCTTCATCATCGTCAATTTCTATCTTGAAGCCCCCTTTACGGAAACATTCGTAAGTGCCAAATTATCGATCAGAATCATTATAAAAAAAAGAAAACTCAATGTCTTTTCCTCGTTGAAGAGGTGATAATGTAGTACGCTTCACCGCAACTTGAGGCAATCATTTGTTTATATCCGGGGTCATTACTGTATTGTTTCTGTGACATTCATGGTAAATTGAACACAATGCACACTTTTTAGGTCAGGCAGACCGGATAACTAGACAGCGGATGTGATGCAACTGGTCGGATGGTCGATGTATTCAATGTGAATACTGGACATTGACTGATCAATGCGATCGGTGTTCGGAGTAGACAGTGATCGGACTTCACAAGTTGTTTTAACATAGCTGTCTTGCAAGGAATTTCAGGACTACATAAATCAGTCAGTTCTGACAGTAGGTAGGTTTGTCCAGGGGTTGATTTTGCCAGCTTTTACTGTATTAAAAATGAGGCACTTGCTGATTGGATAATGTTGTACTATCACAAATGTTAACTATGCAAATCATCAGATCAACCAATGTCGATATGATGGCAGCGTTATTTATTCACTGGGTTTTAATTTTACTTATTACTTATCATTGTCTGTGACTGGTACTAGCACACAAAGGGACACCAAATCACTTAGCTCAAAAGGACGTTGTCCATGTTATTATCCCCCCAAGTAACACTCGCCACGCGAGATTTTAGCGAATTCAACTAAATAAACAAATTAACAAAATCTTCATTTACCTCAAGTTTCAACAATTGCATTGTGAGAATAAAGTCTTTCTAAATTATGGACATCTTGAATTAGTGACATGTTTTACAGTAGATTTGCAAGGAATATAAACACATGATTATACAAGTGTGAAAAGAGACCTAAAGCAAAGTTTAGCAACACCCCCCATCAAGTTTTAAAATCAGTTTTTTCTTTTTCTGAGAACACAAAGAACATCTTTTAGTGTAATAATTTATTTTGGACAGGAAATAAAATAGTTCAATAAAGGTCAATGACCAGTTATAGAAAGTAATCCAGTGAACATCAACAATGTGGGCGTGTTAACCCTATATTTATATACAATGATGACTCAGCAATTTGTAATACAAAACATATTTATATATATATATAAAATTATACTAGTAATAACACTAATAATTTGCTTTGAAAAATAAATATAAAGAATATCTATTAATATATTTAGCCCACTATATATTTTATTATTTTTAGAACATGATTGTCAAAGTAGCTATCATACTGTAACATGCATGAAATGTACATAAACATTACAATTTCTATTAATTATAAATTACAAAACAAATCTCAATGCCCTTAATTAAACAAAAGAAATAATCAAAGTAATGATAAAGAAGTATTTGCCAACCTTTGCTGCCATTGATGAAAGCAGAGTAGCGGTACTGACCGGCATACTGAATGGGTGGAAGTACGAGACTGAATGCGCTACGTATGCTTGCTTAAGCACTTTATATAGGACAGAAAAATGTGCTGAGTCATCACTGCTAAGCATTGTGGGTAAATACAAGTAATGACTTATGACATGCCTATAACTGAAAACCATAGATGCTTCCGATTTCATGTTTTTTAGTTTAATTTTCATAATTACATAAATGTATGCCCAATTAATAGGAATGTTTGAATTCTAGATTAATTTCTATAGATCCATTAATAGGCCACTGCATTTAATATTATACACGATTAAAATCAGATTCAATAGTAGGCCAAGAAGAATAATTTAAAAAATTAAAAATCTATTAAAAATCAACATATTAAAAAAAGTTTTGAAATGATGGTTAGAAACATTTGTTTTCTGTGCCATCTTTAAGATGATCAACAACAAAGTGAAATTAAATGAAATTTTCTTCACATTTTCAAAATTTATGGCAACAGGAAAAATAAATAATGGGGCCACCACAAACATTTTATAAGGAATAATGACTGAAAAAGTCCTAATGTGCATTTCATATTTAATAATATTTCATATAATACAAATCTCTGTCGTAACATATGTTCACCAAACAAACTCAAATTAAATTATCATTGAAACGATAAATCAAATGGTAAAAGGTGGAAGAAAAAATGCAATTTTATCAAGAATGTTGAGATAGCAGTATCTCAGTTACTTGTAAACAGCAGTGCTGGCAAATACGATGGAATCCAATATGTAAACTCTAATATATAAAAGTCAACTTTGGGGAGTTTTTGGAATCAAAACTATAATACAAGTGTTTCGTTACTAAAAGTAATCACTGAATCTTGGGCGCACATGAATTAGAAAATGACTTAAACAATAAAATATTTTTCGCGCCACTAGAATCTTTTTAAATATACTTGTTGAATGAGTGTTGCTAAGAGACAATGATATGGCCACCACATTAAGAAAGAAAGGTCACTGACCACTGAAAAATACTTTGTGCATTCAACAATGTAGACAGATACATGATGCTCACAATCTAGATGGCTATCTTTATCAGCTGGGTTAACATATGTTTCGTTATTTAGTTCTCATTCTAGGAAGAAGCCAATTACGTATTCTTACTCATTCATCTTGTGTCCTAGATTTGTTATCCTCCTAATATTTCGAAATTTTTTAAGCCCGCTTCATACTAGTATTTTGCTCATCAGTCTGTAGATGAATGCGATGATGATTGGTGGCTAATCTGAATATGCTAATGTCCCAAACCAGGGATGTGACAGTTGTATGTTCTCCACACACGCTGTGTCAACTGATAGTAGCCAGACACAAAAAGTGACTGCCCCTTTCGTTAGAATGAATTTACGCGGTTAATGAACATATTAGAAATAATGTTTCCAGACTATTCTACATCACTCTCAGAAAATTGTGTGCTACAAGTCACGACCATCCATAAGATATCGTTGTTTATTAGAAGCTATGATAATGTCAACTCTCATACCTGTTCATAGCATTCACAATTTCCATGAACATCTCCTACCCAGCTTTCAAACTCGTATATTCTGAATTTCACTTTTATGAAGACCTTGTGAATTTCAAATGAAAACAACTTGACCAATCACAATGCTTTAGTAGATAAATTTGGTATCATCCTTTCTAAGGTTATATCAAGGGTTTCCTCTTGGCAAATAAAAATTTCTGCTGATTTGAAAAGAATGCCTGTCTCTCGGGATAAATTTCTATAAAAACTGTTCATACATGAGTGAGATTTAGTGTAAATAAATACAATTATTCACAAAAGATACTCTAAAAGAGTGGCTGAATATATAACTTGTAATACAGCTGCCACAGACCATGGATATACATATAATGCAGCAATGGATGCTATTGATAAAGCATTCCAATGCAACAAAAGCCACTTTTTTCATTGATTTGACAAGGCTGGTAACATTTTCACCCTGATTACAAAGGTTTGGGATGGAAAATGATAAATAATAGGAAATATTGATGTACTTACAACTCTCACTGTTTGACCAGTTTTACGCACCATTTTATCGTATTTCCCCTCAACTTATATCAGCTAATAACCATTACAAAATAAACTGTAGGAGACCTGTTAGAAAGTAGGAAAACAATAAATTGTAAATTCTTGTATTTCAAAGATTTTTGTATGGTTAGAAAGATAACAAATCAGAACTCGGATTTTACAATGTTTTGGGTTCCTACACAAACCAGGTTATACTGATCCAAGGTGTAAGGGCCAAATAAAACAAATTTGATGTTTCCAGGAATGGTGTAAACAAATATTAGGCAGGTTTTTTTTTTTTTATAGTATTTTATCCAATGGGTACTTGTTTTGGGTTTTGATATTCAGTTAGTTTTCAGAACTAGGTGCTATTCATACACTACAGAGAAGGAAGTATATAAAATAAAAACATACATTGGTGGAATGACCAGAGCTAATTTGAATAAAAATAAATAATTGTTAGCTTATTTGCATAAAATAAAAATAATTTCTTCAAAAATTGGGCTGGCAGGATTAATGTAACACAGAATTAATTTCATATGGCCTTGTATTATAATAACTGCGAGTGCCATAATTTTTCTATACAAGATTTTACACTCGTTTCAAGTTACTTCATTCAAAGTTAATACTAGTATTTAAATTTAAAAAAAACATGTGTTATGTTGTAATGTAATGTGTTGTAAATGTGTTTGCAGGTACAACTATGAAAAACTCAAAATAGTGGTGCAGACCATGAATATAATTTTAAACTTATTTGAACATGATCCATTAGTCGATCAGTTTTGCGAAAAGAGCAATACCAAAATCTAGCTCAATAGTGATCACAACCTCTCGACGTATAGGATATAAGGATTCAGTTCACAATACCCATGTAGACTTAATTTCGTCAGCAATATCATGTTGAAAGCCAAAAGACATTTGAGTATTTAATAATCCATTTGAGCTTGATATCAGCAGTTATTTTTAGTAAATTAATTTACCTGCCTGTGAAAATTTCAACAAAAATTTTGTTAGCATTTGCTATAGAAACATATAAATTGAAAGATCACATGCTATTGAATGGCAATAACTTATGAAGTGGTAAATCCAATATTTCCAAAAAACACTGACAAAGCACATTTTTCGAAATACTGAAAATTTTTTAAATATTTTTTAGAAATTTGTAGAAAAATTACTACAATTTACAATCAGCCATGCTCTGTTCTGTGATTTTGAACTTTTTGTAGAAACAACAAAACGTTGGGAAACATCAACAATTATAATATATTATAATCTCGCAATTATAGAAAAATATGGGAGTAGCCCCTGCAATTGCTGTTTTGCATTCATTTTTGCAAGCTGCAGAAGTGTAATTTGTCGTTTGTAATTGGTGATGTCGACAAATTACAAGATAAACATGTAATATTCAAAATATTGAGTACACAATAAAACCGCGCAATAAGCAAAGCTATTATTTTCTCGGCCAACCAACGTGGCACACGTACATCACATGTGTATGCTTGTTAACATGCGGGTATTGTGAGAATAGAAAGAACCACGTTTCAGCGAAAAATAAAAAAAAATAATAAACTGGCGCCAACGGGACGTATGATAAAAATCTACCATCAGCAAGTGTTATTAAATTTATTCGATACGATAATAACGCAAAATAATAATTTCGTGATTTCAACTTTCCCCGCCCATAAAATTTCGTCGACCAGGTTAAAAAGATGCACGCTACATATTCGCGGGTAAAAATGTGATAGCATTACGCTATGGTCGTAAAATGGAATTTACGCATTAACGCAACTTACTCTTACAATCTTGGTACAGTCGTCACAACCGCAATTTCGTTACAAGAAGATTCTAAATTGTTAGAAGTGATCGGAAAACTGATGATGTACATGATTGCGGAGAGCAAAGTCCGGACGTGGCTGTAATGATGCAATGTTTTGGAGGGAGGCGCCCGCGTGCTACATGCTCACACCACAACAAAACAATAATCATAACAAAGAAAACGCGGTCCACATGAACCCAATTTTCACACAATTTTCGCACCTACTATAACAGTCTGGGATCAGAAATCACGTGTAATCACACGACCCTCACCCGATTCAATCACAATGTTAAATTTCCTACCTGTTCCCACTGGAAGTGCAAAAACAGGAAAAGCATGAGTCAGAGACTGGAAAAACGTAGGGCACAAAGCCTTTATTGGCAAGCGAGCTAGCTACGAGTGATCAACGCGTGATCAGGGTGAGGAAAAAATGCTGATTCATCAAAAACGACCTTGGGTTGAGCTATTCCGTAAACAGGGCCCTAAACCTCATTGACGGACAGTCGCATTTATTTTACGCATTTCAAACAAAAAAACGACTCTCCGGGAAATTATTGCATGTACATGTTTTCAAATCCAGTATTTATTATTTATATTATAGAAAAGAAATCAAATTTAAATAAAGAACATATGATTTAAATAAAAATATATATACGAAATGATTTAGAAGTGTTAAACGAACAATAGAAGCTTAATTATTTTATAAACAAGCAGAGAACAAAGAATATTTTTCATTACTTTTTAAAATCGTTCTCGACACATATTAATTCTTACCCTGGATTATTTCTATAAATATTCAGCCCACAATCTAGCTGTCACCCCTACGATGTATTTGGAACTGCCATCTAGCAGCCAAACACATCCGGGTGAAGAGTACGAACTCGGGGAAGCAGGAAGTGCGAGTTATAGCCAAACGTCAGGTACGTAATCACGTTTAAATTAGGCTGTAAATTATGTGCGACTATTATATGCAAATTACGCCATGCGTGCTGAATACTGCACTTGACCTTATAAGTACATTTACCCCAAACTCTTGAGCTGGAACCTGAATTTCGATCTCAGTGCTGATACGGTCTGCATACATGTCACGTCGTCTGTCTATATCTAAAAGACATGCACACCGATGTACAAATCTATCTCATTTTCAGTATAAAAGCCACAAATGTTTAATATAAATATCTGTAAAATTCATGAAATTTCGTTCGGTTTCGCAAATAAAGTAGATAGCCAAGTCCTAAAAAATATTTACCAATCGATTTTGATTTGTAGCGTCCTCGATCCGTACATGCAACTTTGATATCTATTGATATGCGATGAGGATATTTCATGCCGGCGATCTCATGATCTCGCGAGTTACACTCTGGGGTTAAACTTTGGTATCATCACCGTTTACAAACCTGCAAAATGCATGTAGTATAAACTTTGTGAATAAGCAAAAATATTAGCAAAAACCAACTGTTCACCAGTTCTCTCACTAAAAAACTCATTTGTATTTCTAGAAATGTCTTGCAATTTTGTGATTACCCAGCAGTTTGTCTGACTTTCATTTCTTGTAAGATCCTCATTGCATAACACACCACTTGCATACCCTTGTCTAATGCTTTTTATTAATTTAAAATTTGAAAATACAGAGTGGCTATAAACACTATAGTGATGCATTTGACAATTAATCTAATTCTGTTACCTCCTCTAAAACTGAGCCACTAATCAAATGGCTTCTTTCAAACAACTAAATGGTTGTGGCTCTTAAATCACAAAACATGTAGTGCATTATTATTATGTGTGCTGCATAACATTGTGCATGCATGTTGAATACTATGAGGTTATTCACTTGCTCGAAGAGTTGGTTGATGCAAGTGACATCGTGAGTGAATAATAATACAGTCTAAGACACCACAAGTATCTATCCAGATCCATGCAACAGTATAAGTGATATTAGATGTTGACCTTTTTATCACATGATCAACTCTGAGTGTCAAAACTACAGAGAAATTGTGATTTCAACGAACTCCAATTATAAATGTTATGCTAATATATGCTAATTAGTGTGATGTCTAAGCATATTGATAAACATGCATTGCAGTTACCACCACCAATGGTTTTCAAAATCAGCAGAAATAATACCCCTTTTGATTGATTGATTTATTTCACCAGAAAATTATGTCTACAATTATTGAGATATATAAAGTGATATTTTTTTTCAAAATTATTATGGGTTACTGTCATTGCACCATATTCATAAGAGTGATTTTAGTTTTCCAGACTGAAATTCTCATATCACAGTGATAAAAACAGTATTTTGTTATTTACACCA